GGGCGGGGGGAGGACCGGCCTCGCCGCCGCCGCCGCCGAGCCCGGCAAAAGGGGGGGGAGGACTGGCCTCGCTGCCGCCTCCTCGGGGAGATTGAGCAGGGGGGGATGGAGGAGACGGAGCTCTTGTGCTTATCTAATTCCCTCTTGAAGCTGTCCATGCTTGTAGCCGCCACCTTTATAAAGTTTATATCTCCAGTACCTGGCATTACGTCTTACGGCACTCATGGCTGGGCCCAACAAAGTGACGTTTATGTCAGATCTGGCCCTTGAACAAGTGAGTTTGACTCCTCTGGTTTAAGCAGCCTGAAACCTGCCTACAATAGCAACGGTTGTGAATTTGGAGTGAGCCTAGGAAGAGATCAGGAGGCGGCGGAGACTTACGGGATGGCTGGTGGCGGTCGGTGTTTCTGAGCAGCTCCGGCGAGGGGCGCAAGTGATGACCGAAGGGCGCATCTATGAGAGAGGAGACATGAGCAGGAGACTGAGGTGGCGGTCAACTAGGGCTGCCAACATCCAGGTGGGGCCTGGACATCCCCCAGAATTAAAACTGATCTTCCAGCAAGAGCGATCAGCTTTATACTCTGCTGAGGTCCCTCCCCTTCCCAAATCGTGCCCTCCCCAGGCTCCACCCCACCCCAAATCCCCAGGAATTTCTCAAAGCAGAGCTGGCAACTTGAGGGCCAGGAGAATATATCGAGTTAAGCGAAGACCGACCTGCTGTAACTGGGACACTGTAAGGGTGGGATCCAGATGGGGCTTCCTCAAGGGGCATCTATGCGGGCAGGATGGGTGAAGCACTCGAGCGTCAATGCAGGGCTTTGGTCTGGAGGTGGTGGTGACGCAAGGCACAGCAGCTGGGTCTTCCGGGATCTGGCCAGCAGGGGGTGCTGTCCGCTCACGCAAGCTGTAGGGTGAAGGAGAAATTAAAAGGTGAAGGTTTCCCTTGCTCGAAAGCCAGTCGAGTCCGACTCTAGGGTTGCGGTGCTCATCTCCGTTTCAAAGCCGAAGAGCCAGCGCTGTCCGAAGACGTTTCCGTGGTCATGTGGCCGGCATGACTAAACACCAAGGGGCACGGAACGCTGTTACCTTCCCACTGAAGTGCTACTTGCAGTTTCTTGCTTTCGAACTGCTAGGTTGAAAGCCATCATCTATTTGCAAATAGATTCAGGTGGGCAAGCCGTGTGGCACGTTTAAGAGCCACCAAGTTTTATTCAAGGTATAAACATCCTTGTGCAATATAATGATGCCCTGCAGAGTGCAGCATTTATCACAATGCAAAATCGTGTTTCGGCATGGAGCCATGGCCAATTTGCCAGCTGGGATTTGATTTTGTAGAAGCTCTCCAGTTTGTATCAGGTGGCCATCTGGGAACACGTCGAGCAGTTAAAAAAAAAGAAGCAACGAGTGTTTATGACCATGTGCAGAGAGCCTTTTCTCGTTGACGGACAGGCCCCACCGAGCCCCTGCCATCCTGAAGCTTTTGAGATCCGAGAAGACTTGATGGCCAATTCTTCTTCAGCAGCGAAGCCAGTTTGGTGTAGTGGTTAAGTGCGCGGACTCTAATCTGGGAGAACCGGGTTTGATTCCCCACTCCTCCACTTGCACCTGCTGATGTGACCTTGGGTCAGTCACAAGCTCTGGCACAGCTGTAACCTGAAAGAGCAGTTTGTGTAAGAGCTCTCTCAGCCCCACCCACCTCACAGGGTGTCTGTTGTGGGGAGGGGAAGGGAAATGAGTTTGTGAGCCTCTCTGAGACTCCAAGTGAAGAGCGGGGTATAAATCCAATCTCCTCCTCCTCTTCTTCTTCTTCCTCCTCCATGTGGAACACCGGCCAACACGCTTGATCTCTATAACATTCTGGGCCGCTCAGTCTCCAAATTGGCAGGGAAGCCTCCTTGGAACTTCCCATTGGAAGTGACCAACCAGTTATGTCAAGAAGACCACTGTGTGATCTTGGACCAATACTCTCTCTCATCACAGCCCAGATAAAAAGATAAAAACATGCCAACCCCCAGGTATTTGCTGGAGCTCTCCCAGAATCACAACTGTTTTCCAGGCGATGGAGATCAGTTCCCTGGGAGGAAACGGGTGCTTTGGAAGGTGGGCTCTATGCCATTGGACCCTGCTGAAGCCCCTCCCCTTCCTAAGCCCCACCCTCCCAAGACTCCACCCCCAAATCTCCAGGCATTCCCAAAAGCAAAACGGGCAACCCGACTTGTTATTCTAGCCATGAGACAGGACAGGAGGGTTGTCAGCCTCCAAGTGGGGCCATGAGATCAATTACCCTGGAGACAACGGCTGCTTTGGAGGGCAGACTCTGTGGCATTATATCCCACTGAGATCCCTCCCCTCCCCAAACCCTTCTCTTCCTACGCTCCACCCTCAGATCTCTTTGAATTCCCCAACCTGGAGTTGACAACCCTATAGGATAGGCTGTTGTCACCAGCCTGGGGAATTCCTAGACATTTGGGGGCAGTGCTTGGGGAGAGCTTAGCAGAGATGCGATGCCACAGAGTCCACCCCTGAAGCTGCCGTTTCCTCCAGGGGGACTAACTTCTGTAGTCTGGAGATCAGTTGTCATTCTGGGAGGATTCCAGGCCCCGTCCAGAGACAGGCCCCATCCGGAGACTGAGTGAGGGGCCACAATCAGAGGGCAAGATGAATTATGGGTGTAAGAGTGCATTATGGGTGTAAGTCTTTAAAAAATAAGGTTCAGGGGAGACCTCATGCCCCAGAAACTCTGTATCCCACTTGGCAGGGGGCAGATTCAAGACAAACCTTTAATCAGCATGGATGTTACCCTTAACGCACCCCAACGTACCCCTTCAGAGTTTTCTTTGGCAGGTACAGCCTACGTACCAGGTCTCTTCACAGAAAATAGCAGTCAGTGAATTGAAATACCGTATATAATTCCGAACAAAGTCTGAGTCCAGTGGCACCTTTAAGACCAACAACGTTTTATTCAAGGTATTAAGCTTTCGTGTGCATGCCCACTTCCTCAGATACAGTGAAACAGAATCTCCTGAGCCACTACATATAGGAAGAGAGATGTAATGGTTGAGGACGTCTTGTTTCACTGTACCTGAAGAAGTGTGCTTGCACACGAAAGCCAGGGCTATTTTTGGGCAGGAACGCACAGGAACGGAGTTCTGGCTGGCTCCTGAGTTGGTCACACCCAGCAGGAGCTCATTAGCATAACATACCACACCCAACAGCAGAAACACATTAGGATTGGCTACATAAGGGATGTGTGGCCTAACATGCAAAGGGTTCCTGCTACAAAAAAGCCCTGGGTTTTGACAACAAACAAGGTAAACAGAATAAGAAGCAAAAGGTAGGTGTGGCTGGATGACCACACTTCTGGTAACATGGGGTGTGTGGCCTAATATGCTAATGTGCTGTGCTGTCAAGGGTGTGGCCTAATATGCTAATGAGTGTCTGCTGTTGGGTGTGGCCTATTATGCTAATGCGTTCCTGCTGGGCTTTTTCTACAAAAAGAGCCCTGATTGTCGTCGAAAGCTTAATACCCAGAATTAAACCTGGTGGGTCTTACAGGTGTCACCGTACTCGAACTTTGTTCTGCGGCTTCAGACCAACACGGCTGCCCCCCACCTGAATTTATACAATCCAGTCCTTCTCTCTATAGATAGAAAACTGAATTGGAGGGATTCGTGAGTTGCCGGAGGCTATTCCATGCCTTTTGCTATCAGAACAGAAACTGTTTTGACAAGACAGATTGACTTCCAAGTTCTCACAGTGGATCTGCAGCTGCAATGTGTCTCCTCAGGGTTGCCAGCTCCAGGATGGGAAATTCCTGGACATTTGGGGCTGGAGCCTGAGGAGGGCGGAGTCTGGGGAAGGGCGGGAGGTCAGGGTGTGTGTGATAGCATAGTCTTTCTCCAGGGGAACTGATCTCTGTGATCCTGGGTGATCTCCAGCCCCCCCCCATTTGGTACCTGGGCTTTCTTTTGATACCCCTACTACAAGTACCTTCTTCCTCGGCCTCGGAGAGCATGAGAACAAAATGATTACTCGGCCATTAAAGACTGTTAACAAAGTTGCCAACCTCCTGGTGGGAATAGCAACAAACACGCGGGAAACACGGCAGAGGCCCCCGGTCACACGGGGAAAATTGGCGCGGCCAAAGTGCGGCTTTTTAGAGCCGCACCAAAAGAGACGCACGGCGGCGGGATCAGACAGATCCCCTGAGCCGCCGCGCAGTTGCTCCCCGGCAGGATCAGATGCCGGGGGGAAGCCACAAATCAGTGAGCGAGGCGAGCCCGCTGCGCATGTGTGCGCCTGCACAGTTTGTCCAGGGGCCTCACATGCTGCTGGAGACAGGCGCACCAGCGATCACACGGCCACCTCTGCTGCGGATTTTCGGGTAAGTAGTAGTGTTTTGTGGGTGGGGGGGTTAATCCACATCTTCGGCCGGAAGAGACGGATCGGGGATGGGTGCGCGCCGCTTCCCAGATGTAGCAGTGTGATCGTGCCCACTTGACGCACCCCCGATCCATCCCTCTCGCGGATCAAAGCCTCCCGTGTGACCGGGGCCTATATGTAGCAATTGGAAGTACTATCCAAATAGATAATCTAATGACTCCCTCCCCAGTGAGGCAAAATCAAACCATATCCATTGGGGGAGATTAACAGTTGTTTGATTTGTTTTTGTTGTTGTTTAAAGGTCTCTGAATCCAAAGGTATTTTGAAATTTAGTTTAGGCTCAGCCAGGGAAGCCTGGGGGAGGATAAAGCAGAAGTCCTCAACTACTTAAAAAGTTCTTTGGAAGATTAAACACCAGCTGTTCAGGATGGCCAATGATGGATAGGGCAAAAGCTTGGGTATCACTTTACAGAGAGTGCGTGTTTCGAGAGATTCTTCTTCAGTAAAAATAATTTTTACATTTGCTCAACCTCCTGGTGGGGCCTGGAGATCTCTCAAAATTACAACTGATCCCCAGGTGACAGAGATCAGTTCCTGGGACAAAAATGACTGGTTTGCAGGGTGGACTCTATGGCATTATACCCGAGGTCCCTACCAGTGTTCCCTCTAAGCTGAGTTAGAGCGAGCTAGCCCACAGTTTTTTAGCCTTCGGCTCACAC